TAGAGAAAACGCGACAGTATGTCACTTTCGTGAGCCAATTTCATTTCAAATTACGTTCATTTTTGGATATAGCATGCATTCGAACGAAAAGCGACGTTATTTTCAAGAGGACAGGTTGAACCATGATGTGCCTGACCACCATCATATGGTGGGTCAGGTCACCTAAAGTCCCAGCTAGCCTGCCATCCCCGCTCGTTGAGCCAAATGGAACCCCCAAATATTCTATAAGGAAGAGAACAGGACTGGGAGGTGAGCGATTGACTACATGCCTGAAAAGGGCATTTCATTACCTGGATCTGGATTTGTACCTGGATAAGGGGGTTCTGGGATTTCTTTTCTCCAAGCCTGGCCTGGGCCAGGCATGACGTGCAAGATCTTGGTCCAGTAGACTGTTGCTTGGAGTGCCCTGCAGGGCCATATTCCCACTTACAATCTAGTTAGTCCAGCACTTCTTGCAGGAAACTCTAATTTTTTCTTGAAGAAATACTTTTGTTCCAGCCATACTTATTTTATTTGCTGTGAGGATATTAAGGAGCCGTGGTCCTTTGATATTCATAGTGTTCTATGATTGTTCCTGTGGCACCTTTATTCTTCACTTGCGCTATTCTGCATTTCCTACCATATTGTTCGCTCCACTACCTTACCTTACCTTGAGGTTACCTTGAGGTGCTTCCGGGGCTTAGCGTCCCCGCGGCCCGGTCGTCGACCAGGCCTCTTGGTTGCTGAACTGATCAACCAGGCTGTTGGACGCGGCTGCTCGCAGCCTGACGTATGAGTCACAGCCTGGTTGATCAGGTATCCTTTGGAGGTGCTTATCCAGTTCTCTCTTGAACACTGTGAGGGGTCGGCCAGTTATGCCCCTTATGTGTAGTGGAAGTGTGTTGAACAGTCTCGGGCCTCTGATGTTGATAGAGTTCTCTCTCGGAGTACTTGTTGCACCTCCGCTTTTCAACTGGGGTATTCTGCACATCCTTCCATGTCTTCTGGTCTCATGTGATGTTATTTCTGTGTGCAGGTTTGGGACCAGCCCCTCTAATATTTTCCACGTGTAAATTATTATGTATCTCTCCCGCCTGCGCTCAAGGGAGTACAGATTTAGGCTCTTTAGTCGGTCCCAATAGTTTAGATGTTTTACTGAGTGGATTCTAGCAGTAAAGGATCTCTGCACACTCTCCAGGTCAGCAATTTCTCCAGCTTTGAAAGGGTCTGTCATTGTGCAGCAGTACTCCACTCTAGAGAGCACAAGCGTTTTGAAAAGTATCATCATCGGTATAGCATCTGTTATAATATTGTGCAAATTTTGGACCTGGATATTCATACAGTGTTCTATGACTGTTTCTGTGGCACATTTTTTCTTCACTTGCGCTATTCTGCATTTCCTACCATATTGTTCGCTCTACTATGTTATAATACTGTGCAAATTTTGGACCTGGAGTTCAGTCCATGTATACAGTACATGATACCTCTCTTGTCTCCTTTCCAGAGTACATTTTGGGAGCTTCAAATGGTCCCAATAATTTATGTACTTTATTGTGTTTGTGTGCTGAGTATGTCCTCTGTATTCCCTGTGTTTCAACAATCTCTCTTGCTCTGATTTGTTATTTTTGGGAGAGCCCTGTCAGTAGTTTTCTGAGCTTACTTGTCAGTCACTATAGCATTGACTTCATGATTTTCCTAAGGGTGACAACACTTGCATAATTGTCTTTTGTTATTGAATGTAATTTAAATTACATTAATCCAACCCATTGTTACTGGCTAATAGTTCTGATTTTCAAAGTAAATTATCATAATTAAACAAATATACTTTTATTTGCTTGTCACAAATAATTTACTAATTATATTAACATTTCAGGTTGTCCATTTCTGCAGTTGTGATGTCCTACCTTCAAAACCCACAGCCAATGACACCTCTATGGTCCAATATATAAACAGTTCTATATTATCGATTGTTTTTGGTTGAATGGAAATGTATAATTGCCTCACCATACTTGTATTAAAATTGTACTGCTGAATGACAGTGACAATTTTACTTTTAATAAACTAGCTAATGGTGCCAGGTTTGTATTATGATGTGCAATATGGAACAGTGCCAACATTTGATGATGTGCATGAGTTACAAAATGGCTTGGTTTGTTAATCTTTTAATTTGTGTAGCCTGCACTATATAATTCTTGTCTTATACTTCCCATCCAAAAGTTTCTTGTAAGCAGCTTGTCTTTTTTTTTCTTTAACAAATGGACAAATTTGTATTGTCCCATAACATTATCATGTCATTCATGCCAGTGTAAAAGGCAATAGCATGAAGGTCAAAGCTTGAAATATCCTGGAATATGAAGTACCATACGAGTTGATCCTCGAGTGACAACCACATTAGTACAGTAGATAGCCTCCATATTAGACATAAAAGGAAGACTTGATCACCACGTTAGAAATAGAAGAGTGAAAGGGAATTGGGAGTGGAATGGTAGGCAGTCAGTATGGGGGAAGGGAGACTTTTGGAGTACAGTACAGTACTGTCCATTCAGTAGAGCCAGGCTGTCACCTGATCGGATGACAGGCAAAGTTATCAGTCACTAGCACTGATTTTATAGTTTTCTTCGAGGTGACATCAACTGCATAATATCTTTTTGATCATGAAATTACATTAACTCCAACCAGTTACTGCTGGTTAATAATTCTTAGACATAAAGGAAAGAGGACAAATCAGAAGAGCATGTTAAGATAGGGCTACCTGAATAGGTTTCAGTTGTGGTTACTCCATCAGAGGGGCGTTCATGGGGATAAAGACAGATTCTACAGTAAATTGTTAATTCCTCTTTTAGGACTGCCTCCTCTTCCATTTTGCTTAGTTATGCAAAGTTGTTGTTTTATGGTTACAAAGGAAACATATCATTCCTTAATTTCTTATTTTGACTGTATCAGAATTTAGAATTTCTAAAATATAGTTACAGGTTGTAAGTACAGTATGTATAACAGTTTATACAGTACTATACTTAGTGTATAAAATATATATTAATGCAGGCCATATGTATTATTGTTAAATATGTACTTTTGTATTTCATAGTAAACCTTTTACCATAATATATAATTATCTTCTCCTTTCAATAGTGCATTTGTCATGTTGAATTATATGGTATATCAGGATTTTATCGGTACTACCTTGTTGACTGCGTGTTCCTCCCGTTACTATACTGTATACAGTATCTCTCCTTCCCATTACAGTATTACGCTGAGATGTATCAGTAAGATGGTTGGGCTCACTGGCTCAAGCAAAGAATATTCACTATACAATACTATATTGAATATAAATTCAGTGGATTTTGTACTACATGGGAACCTGGTCCAAGATAGGGATTTTAATCTAGCCAGTGACCTGTACAATGAATTTGGCATCTAGATAATGCAGAATTCCTCCAAGACTGATAATTTTAAATTAATATTACTAAAAAATTCAAACAGTGCTTTTTCCATGGGATTTCTGCATCAAATTATGCACAAATGTATGTCCTATCATGTGCACAAATAAAGGGTGAATGCTGTGGATCTTGTTGTCCATTAAAATCTGTACAATAAGGCTTTCAGTCACATGCCATCCCTAAGGTGTGGCGTTGTTTACAATTTCCCATTTAGAATCCTTTCATTAGAAAGTATTTACACCACAGTATTGTATGTCGAACATAAAAAATATTAAATGTATAAAGATATTGTACACAATGTGATAAATCAATGATATAATCTTTATAAAATATAAATAAATATGTTTATTCAGGTAAGGTATATACATACAAGTGATGTTACATTAATGGATTGATATATAGATAGAGCTAGTACATACAATGCCTAAAGCCACTATTACGCAATGCGTTTCGGGCAAGAAAAACATTAATATCTAGAACTTAATACTAATTGAGCATAAAGAATAAAAAGTGTTGAGAACAAATACAAATAAAGATAAAAAAAAGGGGGAACATGACTGAAAAAGCAGCACAAATACAATAGGTTGACAGTGTTGATTAAAAAAAAGAAAATAACAGACATGGGTTGACAATAGAGGAGTGAGGTAGGTTACAGGGAATTTATTAGGTAGTGTTTAGTTTTTATCTTAAACTGGTTGAGAGAGGTACAGTCTTTAACATGGTTGGGAAGGTCATTCCACATTCTGGGCCCCCTTGATTTGTAGAGCATTTCTAGTTTGATTAAGTCGTACTCTAGGAATATCAAAACTGTATTTATTTCTGGTGTGGTGCTCATGGGTTCTGTTACAACCTTCTATGAAGCTTTTGAGATCAGGATTGGCATTATAGTTTAGCGTTTTATATATGTATAAGACACATGAGAGAATGTGCAGTGACTTAATGTCTAACATATTCAGAGATTTGAGTAGGGGTACCGAGTGATGTCTGGGGCCAGAGTTGGATATTGTCCTAATAGCAGCTTTGTGTTGGGTAATTAGAGGACGTAAGTGATTTTGGGTAGTAGAACCCCAAGCACAAATACCATAGTTTAGAGCAGGACAGCACGATCGAACCAATGTTGTGGATAACCACAGATGTGCACCTTAACCCATGGACTAGGATGTGCAAAAAGTTACACGACCTGTTTAAATAGAGTACACATGAGAGGATGTGCAGTGACTTAATATCTAATATATTCAGATTTGAGTAGGGGTACCGAGTGTAACTTAGTTACTACCTACAGTTTGCAAACTGGGGATATTTGGCTAAAATTTCTGGTAGCAGATAATTTTGAATGAAATATTTACACATTGCTGGAACATTGGTTATAGAATTGTCTCTGAATTCTCGTATCTTTTCGCACTCCATCACATAGTGACGGAGGGTGTGCAAATAATTTTGTTGACACAGTTTACATTTGGTCAGGTCTACATCAGCAGATGGAAAGGGAGTTAGGAGCAAATCCACTTTTGATTTGCCCTAAGAGGCCAAAACCGAACCTAACAAGAAGGTAAAGTAATGGGAGCACTGTAAGGACGGGAGGTGATGGGAGGGTTGCCGGGTGGGCGTCGCGAGTGTGGGTCGGGGAGTGAGGCGCCTCAGTCACGTCCCAGGAGCCAGGCGGCGGACACCACGGCACGCACCATCACACAAATGGCTACACTAACGCGATCTCTGCGTCTCGTGGCTCTCGCCAAGCCATGTGTGATGCGCCTGGGGCCTCCCCGGATAGCAGCGTGTGTGCACACCATGAGGAGGAGGGAGTGGAGAGGCAGCGAGGGGAGGCTGGTGCCGGCGGCGCTGCAGGTACGGCTCCTGGCCTCGCCGGCACCTCTGTTTACACCAGCATCAGCTGATCATTAATATTTAGTATTCTCTTTGTAATAATTACGACCATTTTGTGTCTTGGTGTGACGTGACACGGTGCCCGTGACGAGGAGGGTGGTGCTGGGTGTTGTGTCTAGCTGGAGTACAACTGTCAATAAGTTGACAAAAACATGGGAACAGTTCGATTGATTTACTAAGCTTATTTGTCGCCAGGTTTAGTTTAGTAATTCATATTCATGGTAACTGGTCCTATATATATACTAAAAATTGTCTTGCAATTTTTTGGGGAATTTTAAGATAAGAATACATTTGTAATCAATATCCCTCTTCCTATTTTGTAATTATGTAATGATTACCAGATGTGTTGCTACAGTCTTTTGATAACAGCAATTACAAAAATCTAAGTTAAAGAGTATGTAGCTATCACAGTTTAACTGTTGAGGAGAAAAGAGAAGTTGCATTTTTTCTGTACAAATCATGTGAGGTGCTGCAAGTGACTAACTTTATATATTTATTTTCGTTCTCTATTTATTCATGCTAACATGTTGTATTGATGTCAATAGTGGTGTTCATTATGTATAACTTTAAAAATATGTATATATGTATGCTGATACAAAGAAGCAAAGCAAATTCCCAGCTAGTGCCTAAAACTAAGGACCACATGAAGGGAGTTAAATCGCAGGTCTTTAAGCAGCTTTTGTTCCATTTTGCACATAAGTTGCTGGTGTTTGGCTAGAGGTTGATGGTTCGGTACCACCTTGTTCCACAGGCTTTGTTCAGGAAAAATTTTGCGTATTTGATGGTGCTACATAGCCTTCCCGGTTTGGTGCCTTCTTTTGATAATTACTTACTTACTTACTTTGTTCAGGAAATCTGATCTTGAGTTGGAGCCTTCTCTGGGTAGAAGGAGTGCTCTTGTCTACCATAGGGGAGCCGGTCGGCCGAGCGGACAGCACGCTGGACTTGTGGTCCTGGGTTCGATCCCAGGCGCCGGCAAGAAACAATGGGCAGAGTTTCTTTCACCATATGCCCCTCTTACCTAGCAGTAAATAGGTACCTGGGTGTTAGTCAGCTGTCACGGGCTGCTTCCTGGGGGTGGAGGCCTGGTCGAGGACCGGGCCGCGGGGACACTAAAAAGCCCCAAAATCATCTCAAGATAGGGAGTCAGAGGAGGAAGGGCCCTTCATGTGGTCCTTAGTTTTAGGCACTAGCTGGGAATTTGCTTTGCTTCTTTGTCTGGCTTGAAGGCTGGCTTTTCTTCAGCTCTGGTAGACACTTGGGGTTCAGTCTGGAACTTTAAACCCTTGGACAACTGCTTTGGAGACATGGTCATACCTGCCTATGTGCAAAAAAAAAATTATGAATATAATTCATAATCATTTTAGAATTATAAATTTGTATGCAAAATGTAAGAAAAACACAAAAATAAGTGAATATTTGTTTCACTGGGTGGAGGTGCTCTGGGAGTGGGTGTGGTGCGTGTGTCAACACCCGGTGCCTGACTCTGCTGACACTCCTGGTGTTATCCCTGGATGTTTCACTGGTGATTTATCACTTGTTTCTCTTCATTTACAGGAGTATGTGTGTTGAATAACTTGATAAATTGCATAATTCATAAACATAATTGTTTAAATAACACATTTGAATTGATGCTTGGTTTATCCGTTATAATCTATTGCAACTATAGAAAGTAATGAAAAGAATATGAGCATAATATACAATGGTGTTAGGTTCTGGGCAATTATATATGGCCTAATTAGCAACATACGGAGTAAGAGTGTAGATAGATATAGATATATTATATTATATATTATATTATATAATATTATAATATAATATTATAATATAATATATATTATATTATATATTATAATATTATAATATAATAATATATATATAAAATCCCCTGTGTGTCTAGCAAATGCTGATTAAGACTATCTTATTGTAAAGGTCGCCAATACCAGGTATCAGCATCGTCTTCCTCTATTTTCTCTAGTCTCCATTTTGTAGTATGGTGACAAAAACTGCACACTGCTGTACACTATAGTCAATTGGGACCTTACTAAAGCTAGATATAGCTGAATTATGATGATAGTATTTTATTGATACTTATGTTTGATGCATCAAAGCCAGCACTGTTTGCTTTTGCGCACTATCCATGAAAAGTGCCTTGAAAAAGTTTGAGATGCACCCTGCCAGGTTGATGAGGAATGTTGGCTTGCCCCGATTGCTTCTGGTATAGTTCCTTCCAGAGGCAAGTAAGATCTTCCTTTATGGAGTGACCAATCAAAGAGATACTTTTTTCTCAGGTGATGTTTGAGACTTTTATTGCTGCTGCTCTTCAAAATGCATTAAAAGGTCAGAATTTTTATTTCAGTTTAGTACATAAGGTTACCACTTACCTACCTTGTGTAACTTCTAGGGATCAATGGTCCCATGGCCAGGTCTCTGATCAGTCCTTCTGATTGTTGGACTGGTCAACCAGCCTGTTGGGCATGGCTGCTCGCAGCCTGGTTGATCAGGTATTCTTTGGAGGTGTTTGTAGTTATTTTTTGAACACTGTGAGAGGCCGGCCAGTTATGCCCCTTACGTGTAGTGGGAGAGTGTTGAAAAGTCTTGGGGCCCTTGATGTTGATAGTTCCCTCTCTTGAGTACTTATTGTACCTCTGCTTTTCAACAGGAGTATTTTGCACATCCTGTCATGCCTACTGGTTTCATCTGATGTAATCTCCGTTTTTAGATTTGGAACCAGTCCCTCTTTCTTCCACATGTAGATTATTATGTCATCTCTCGCCTATGCTCTAGAGAATACAGATTTAGAGCTTTTTAATCAGTCCCAATAATCAAGATGACTTGGAGTGGATTCTAGCAGTCACAGAGAATGTGCATAGAGATTTTATTTAAAATATTTTAGGATTTATGTAATAGTGTAGCACCATGTCCAGGACTGGAGTTTAGGGTACTTATTGCAGAATTATACCAAGTACTCTACTGTACTTTACAATGATATATAGTGTATAATTGGTCTGCATCAGTTTGTCTTGGAACCTCATGCAGATGCCATATGAAAGAGATGGGTAGATGAGCCATTAATAGTTAAACCAGTGTAGTTGTGGGACAGGCCCTGTGATAGCCCTGTGGGTGCCTAACCCGGTCTATGGCAGACTTTTTTTAGATATATACAAGAGTTGTTACATTCTTGTACAGCCACTAGTACGCGTAGCGTTTCGGGCAAGTCCTTAATCCTATGGTCCCTGGAATACGATCCCCTGCCGCGAAGAATCGTTTTTTCATCCAAGTACACATTTTACTGTTGCGTTAAACAGAGGCTACAGTTAAGAAATTGCGCCCAGTAAATCCTCCCCGGCCAGGATACGAACCCATGACATAGCGCTCGCGGAACGCCAGGCGAGTGTCTTACCATTACACCACGGAGACTGTTAGACAGGAGACACGGAGACATAGAATGCTTCCAACCACACGAGGGTTTCTATAGGCCATTGCTCCCCTTGCCTCTCTAGAGGGGGCCAGGTTCTGGCTCGAGATCCCCGGTAGGCCCAAAGAACTCCATACACATGACTGATGCCAAAGTCTGACATTAGCATATCAACCTAGTAAGCTCCGGGGACCCTCTGGGACTCGCCCAGAAAATGGCATTTCATTACATTCAATGCTGGTTTTATCTCAAAATTATCTAAATCTTTTACATAAAAAAAACAGATACAACGAAACTGTCAAAGGAGTTACAGCAATAAACAAACACAGATGGATGTGTCGGAGCGAGTCATGGCAATTTGCAAGTTGTATAATCCTTCTCGACATGTTGAGGTAATTCTTGAATTTGCTAAATAAGCCATTATTTTTTCAGTGGGCATTTACTTTTTCTTTTGTAGGCAATTTTTGCCCAATTTTAAGATGACGCCTTCAGTTAAAAGTTAAATAGTTTTACTGATGGTTTTAAATTAGATTCGTGCTATATTTTCAGACAATAGATGGTGTTCGTAGCTACAGTGCCAAGGCACCTCTGACACTCGACATGATCCAGCAGAGAGTTCTGCTTGTCCTCAAACTCTACGATAAAGTTAATCCTGATAAGGTATTTATTTCTTAGTGTTGTTCAATTCAAATTTAAATCAGAGATTCCTTGGCTCATGTGTAATATATTTGTAGAGTACTGTATATATTACTTCTAATTGCAAATTGATTAATATTCATTAACAGCATAACTTTGTATATATTTAGACACTAAATATAATTTAAATATGAAACTTAATTTTTTCCTCCTCCCCCCCCCTAGCTAACAATAGAGTCTCACTTCATGCAAGACCTTGGCCTAGATTCCCTTGACCATGTTGAGGTCATCATGGCTATGGAGGATGAGTTCGGTACGTACTCTGGAATATCATTTTACATAAAAATTTTGGTGGCGATTGGGTTTGTGGGATTGTCGATCATGCGTAGAATAAGACTTTACGTTACTATATTACCAATAAGATTGCTGTGTAAATCCTCTTGCATGGATGCATTAACATAATGAGGTTGAACAAATCCACAAGGGCCGTGACAAGGATTCGAACCTCCGTCTGGGAGCATCCCAGACACTGCCTTAATCGACTTGGCTACGACAGGGTAAAAGGTTTTACCCTGTCGTAGCTCAGTCGATCAAGACAGTGTCTGGGATGCTCCTGGATGCAGGTTTGAATCCTCGTCACGGCCCTTGTGGATTTGTTCATTTGATGCATCACTTTAGTGTGATGTCTGTGTGTAATAATGAGATTCTGTCCAACTGAGTGGAATCAATTGGAAATGTGGTGTCGAAAAAAAGTAAGATAAAAGTAAATTGTTAAATATTTAAATTAGTCTGTGCAATTTTGGATTTAACATGTGCAAATAATGTAGTCTGGGTTTAATCAAACTCATATGAGAGTTTGATTACTTTAGTCATGGCAGTTCAGACAATATTTATTACAAATTTCACAAACTCCAAAGCTTTGTATGGTCCTCAACCCGAAGATATTTTTATTGTTGACGGCCTTGTAATGCTTTGGAACTCGGTACAAATTTCACGAGTCCAGACTAAACTGCTATAAATGAAGTAAAATTGGCAACTGTTCTAAGGATTTGATAAATCCTGTTCTATAGTCTGATTTAACAACAATTATTGTGACTAAAAATTATAAAATCAAAGATGGTAAACATTGATTATCTACCACTGCAACAACTTTTTTGAGCAGATTTGCACATTGTACTCCAGCTTTTCCAGACTACTTAGGACAGACACATCATCTGCCTTGGATCGTAAATGCATACAGTCCACCAGCAAGCAACACATGAACAAAGGAGGAACTAGATGGCAGACGAGAGGGTCTCATAAGGATCATTAGAGAGACCAGAGTAAAAGCAGATAAAGATAAATCATGAGTGTTGGTACTGGGGAACTTCAACTTGAAAGCAATAGACTGGGAGACCTACGAGGCAAGAAGAGGATATTTGGACAGGCAGATTTTTAAACCAATTCTGGAGATATTCGTGTATCAATATGTCAAGCAGGCCACAAGAATGAAGGAAAGGGATGTTCTGTCAATACTGTATTTAATATTCACTAGGAAAGGAGATATTTGACAGACCTTTCTCCCTCGGGAAAGAGTGATCATGTCCTGTTAGAAATTAAATATGCTTTGCAATATAATCTAAAAAAGAATGGGGAATTAAAATGGTTGATAAATTTGATTTCAATAGAGAACTTTGCAAATTCTTTAATGAATTGATTGGAAGGACTTGATACTAGGCAAGGAAGTAAATGAGATATATGCCATATTCTGTAAAATATACGCCAAAGTACAAATACATTTATACCGAAGCGGATGCCGGAAAGCAGTATTGGTTCAACAGAAATTGAGAGAGAGGGCCAGAGAGGAAAAGACAAGAAAATAGAACCAATATAGGAAGAGGCCTAACCATAAACTATGCCAGCACTACAAACAAGCCAGAAACAAATAATGTACACAGCAAAGAGGAGAGACAGAAAGGAACTTTGAGAAAGGGGTACTGTAGTGGACAAATGTAAAACGGATCCAGGCCTTTTCTATAAATTCATTAAAAGCAAGCTGCATGTAAAGGATAAAATTGAAAGATTGAAAATTGGGAACAGGTTTACTGAGAAAGAATAAGAAATGTGTGAAACATTAAATGAACATTTTCTAAGTGTGCAAAATGAGGTTTTCAGAGAACCAGACACACTGCCAATTCCAGAAAACACCATAGTACTGTACACAGAGGTGTTTTAAAGAGTCGAAGTGGTAAAATTACTCAGAGGGCTGGAAATACAGCATTTGGACAAAATGGAGTTTCACCTTTGGTACTGAATGTGCAACCGATCTTAGCATTCCACTTCAATTGATATTCCAGACATATTTGTGCACAGGAAACAAAGCAAATATATGTAAGGTCCCAGTAGTACATTCAGGTTTGTTCTTGACGCACAATCGAGAATTCCAGGTTCAAATCCAGAGTGGGACAGAAATGGTTGGGCATATTTCCTTTCACCTAATGCTCGTGTTCACCTAGCAGTAAGTAGGTACTCGGGAATTAGTCAACTTGTGGGGTTGCATCCTGGGTTGGAATCAGTAATTTGACCTGGGGGGAGGAGGGGTGCTCAATAAAAGCCTAACATGTATGAAAGCCCAATGGTTTCATGTCCCCCCTAACGCTGAATTATTATTATTATTTATGGAAAAGGTAAAAAATAGTTCGTCTACAAAAATGGTAGCAGAGAAGACCCTGTAAATATTAGACCAATATCATTAACAAGCATGGTAGTCAAAATATTAGAAAAAATGGTTAAAACCAAATGGGTAGAACACTTGGAGAGTAATGACACAATAATACAGGCAGTATGGTTTTCAAACAGGAGAATCCTGTGTAACAAATCTACTTAGTTTTTATGATAGAGCCTTAGAGATTCTACAGGAAAGAGATGGTTGGATTGACTGTATCTGGACCTGAAAAAGGCTTTGGACAGAATCCCACAGAAGAGGTTGTTTTGGAAATAAACATGCTAGAGGGGTGACAGGAGACTGCTGACATAGCTGAAAATTTTTCTAAATGACAAAGATGAGGGCGGTAATTAGGGACACTATATCTGACAGGAGGATTCTTACTAGTGGAGTACCACAGGGTTCAGTTCTTTTACTAGTAATGTTCATCGTCTTCATAAATGATCTACCAGGAGGAATACAGAATTATATGAACATGTTTGCTGATTATACTAAGCTACTAAGGAAGACAAGAAACCCAGACAATTGTCATGTTCTTCAAATGGTCTTAGATAAATTAAGTGCTTTGAGCATCATCTTACCATCTCTTACGTCTTGACCTTTTTTCTCTTGCCTACTCCTCACCTCACCTTATTTATTTGCCTGTACTTTCCCTCTTCCTTCACATGACTTGTTAATAGTCCAGGACAGACCGAAACGTTGTCATTTCTTCGTTTTCTGATGTGAGGATTGGTCATCGAAGTCTCATCATCCATTTCCTCTTCTTGAATTATTAATGTCTTTCATTTCTGTTTAACAAATTCGATCTTATCTAGTGATGCTGCTAGACATCTATCCTACATGATGGTAGTTCAATTAAATATAAAAAATCAAATACTTTAGACCTTTAACAGTAACACACAGAAATGAAACATGGCTGGCATGAAGGGAAAGCATAAACTTCTATTGGATATCCACCCCTTTTCCCTTCATAAAAGTGGGAGGGGGGGGTGCCTTATTAAAAATACTGTGTAGGTTGGAATTTTTCACACATTATATGTTTAGTTGTCCATTTTTAACTCGGATATTGTTCCATAGCTAAATCATTTTGATTTTTAAGGTTTCCTGAATTATCATCTCTGAATTTTGGGGATTGTCACTCTGTACTGTGTGTTATTAAAAAATAAATGGTACTCAATTTATATCGGGAAAATATTTTGTATTATTGCTTTACTTCAATAATCTTATCTTCAGTAATGTCATCCTCCAGAGATGCTTGTCTGGCAGAATATAGGAACCCTTTAGAAGCTGTAGGCTTCCTTGTCCATCCCAGGCTACTATTGAATATAATACAAATGAAGCAAATACACACTGGTATCAAGGGGAACTTGTATGCTGAACTTGGAACTTTTTGCAAAAACTAAAGCAGCATCTTAGCCATTTCATAGAATAGAGTACTTGAGCATTCTTTAAAAAAAAAAAAAACCTAAAGTGTAAGCTTTTGACATGAAAATGTTTGCCTAATTAGGTATCTAAAAGTAGGGATAGGCTTTTTTTGGTTATGGCAGCATCAAATGTTGATAATACCAGTACACTTCTAAACTAATCGGCTGATTTTGGGAAGATTTATACATTTTTAATACATGTCCTTAGTGAATCTATCTGGCACAACAATAAATTATTTTTCAAGCAAGTGCTTTTGCATTTCAGACAATTTTAAGTACAATATCCCAAGTTTACCTCTGCATGCAAATCACTAAAATAATTGATCACAGATACCAGAGTGAAGCCTTGTTTTATTGTGGTTAATAGCTATAATCTTAGAACTGTCATGATTTGCAAGACAATTTCACAAGGTATAGTACATAGTGGTACTATATTACAATACTTATACTACATTCTATACTACCGTATAGCCAGACTTAGTACTGTATGTGAAATATATACAGTATTCACATGTGAGCTCTTGTATTGTGTTAGTAGTGTTCAATTGTTTATTTTGGATGACTTACTAATTGTAATACATTATTTCCTTTTATAGGCTTTGAAATACCGGATGGTGATGCAGAGAAACTTTTACGACCAGCTGACATCATTAGATATGTTGCAGATAAGGAGGATATTTATGAATAGGGTTTCACACGGTGATGGAACTGTTGGACAGTTCCAAAGTTGGACAGAGTGATCACTCTGGCTAAAATCCTGCATGCTGTAGCTCCAGGGAGAAAGGCCTCAAGAGCTTGGCCAGCCTTGTTGTGCAGTGATCCAGTGTTTTGGCAAGACAAGTATGACACTGTATATAATTTTGTTTACAAAGAAGCAGCCACTGGTGAGATTTAGAGAACTAATGATGTTAATTTTTTTGACTAAAAAAGAAAATTTGCTAGTGGTTTACTTTGAACCTGTTCTTATTTTTGACCTCATTTTTACAGTGCTTGTAATTAATAGTGAATGTGTACAGATAATAAATAAAATAAATAAGCTTTACAGTGTTTGTTGTTGAGACCTAATTAAGTTTATAGGCTCAGAGTTCATGCATAGCTCATGCTCTTCAACAGGAATACAACTCTACTGCCTACAGTAATCTCCTTGGGTTGTGTTTTGTTATGATGAGAGGGTTCACGTACGATGCCCCGGAGCCAGTGGAGGTGTCTGGTCTGGGGCAAGAGGGCTTAAGGAAAGAGGTGTTGGAAAATGATGTAGAACTTCGCTGTTAATGTTGTTGCAACTGTAGCTTTTGCCTCCTCCTTATTGGGAGACCATGGCATCATGCTCTCAATTAAACGTGTATTTCACTCGACCGCTGTTATGTACTGTACCATTAATGTTGGTCCTGTGTTGATCACTGGGGTATTTCACTCCTGTCCATCACCATGAAAATCCTGGCTCATATCCTGTTTGACCGCCTCCTTCATCTTAAGCAGGGTCTCCTCCCAGAAAGCCAATGCGGCTTCCATGCAGAACGTTTAACTGTCAATATGATATTTGCTGCACGCCAGCTCCAAGAAAAATGCCTAGAGCAACAGTGACTTCATGACCTTCACCGATCTGACCAAGGCCTTCGATACGATCAGCAGACATGGCTTGTGGAAGGTACTGAAGAAGGTTGGCTGTCCCGGCAAGTCTTCACAATTGTCCGGCAGTTCCTCGATGGCATAAGGGAGAAAGTACTGGAAATGGAGAAGTGAGATGCCATCACAGTGACAACGGCGTGAAGCCGGGCTGCATTCTCGCTCCAACACACTTTGGCATGGTATTGTTGGCCATGCTTACTGATGCCTTCCGTGATTGCCAGGATGGAATACCCATCAGATGCACGACTAACAGTGGGCTGTTCAACCTCGGGAACCTGCAGGCTGTTACAAAGTTGAAGGAAACTACAACAGAGACTTCCTTTTTGTTGATGACTTATGCCTTCAATATCAGCACATGCAGTGCAAAATGGACTGCTTCTCATAAGCCTGCAATAACCTCAGTCTCATCATCAGCACCAAAAAAGACCAAAATCATGAATCAACCCATGACTGGAATACCCTACCATGCACCACACATCAGTCTAGAGGACAGAACCTACAAGCAATCGACAACAATCTTGGCATCATACTCTCAAAAGCAGTGAACATAGATGCAGAAATCAACAACAGGATTGCCAAGACCAGTGCTGCTTTGGAAGATTCTGCGAGTCTGCCCCTTGTGTGGTGACTCCGACCATCCTAGGTTAAATTGTTATCCACATGCTCTGCATCAACTGTGGTGATGGCCACCCTGCCTTCTCTTGATCATAGATGCACTATAAATTTAAACACGGCAACCTGAAACGTAAAGATTATACATCTTATCCCGAGGCAAGATGCCAGGTCAGACGTCCTTCCTCCTCTTCTGACATGTATTGCATCCCATGTACTACCTTATCCTTCCTTTCTCTTGCCTTAACACCAAGGATGTTCCTCTGGTTTCTCTGGCCTGTTTCGACATTTTCTTCCCAGTCTTTCTCTGCTGTATTTGCATCACTTCTCCACCTCACTCTTGTGTCTACGATGTGAGGCCCCTCCTTGGTCCTCCCCGCCCTATGACTGTCTTTGGTGATAACAACCCTCCTCCCACCCATCACCATCCTCGTCTCACCACCACCTTTTGATTGTTGCCGCCGGAGATGGCTAGTCTATTGTGCACCCCATAGTCATCCTGTGAGCTGTAGAGCAAAACGCATTACAGAGGGCACAAAAGGTCTTTATCAGACCTCAACTTAGATTATTACATAAACAATTTCATCTATCCTTCACACCTTATAATTACAATGTCGGCTAATTACAGAGAATGTTCTATTTCAAGAGCTATATATTTACAGTAAGTCATTATACATACATGGTAGGTCTTATCACTAATACATAATTGTTTGAGCAATGGAGGTATGAGTCATACGGGAGCTGCTGTTTAATACTGTACTAGTCTTCACAATACACTATTTGTTTCTTAATCTCATGTTTTTTTTTTTTTTTTGAGATATATACAAGAGTTGTTACATTCTTGTACAGCCACTAGTACGCGTAGCGTTTCGGGCAGGTCCCTGGAATACGATCCCCTGCCGCGAAGAATCGTTTTTTCATCCAAGTACACATTTTACTGTTGCGTTAAACAGAGGCTTGTGTCTTCCATGGCATCTAAAGTTAAAAGTCATAATGGTCTAGCAATTGTGAGGCAGGAGCTCCCTGTTCTGAACCCATGTTGGCCAGAGTTATATAGACACTGATTCTGTGTGTTTTGTGATCTATCTTTTTAACACAAAGATTTTTATGATGTGCAATGCCAGTGCTATTGGTCTATAATTTTTTGCATCGGCTTTACTACCTCCTTTGTGAAGTGGCATAATCACCACTGTTTTAAGTACTATGTCAATTATAACGCCAGTATCTAGGCTCCGTCTCAAAAAGATGTTTAGGGCCTCTAATAGTGGTTTTTTGCAATTCTTGATGTATATATAGAATTCCAGGAGTTTAGGCATGGTGCAAAGTGCATGGGCATGCTATCTATGGCTACTTCAAAGTTGAGTGAGGTTAGGGTAACATCTGATATGGTTCAGTGGTGGTGTCACATTCATAAAGAATTTGTTTGGATCATTGATCTTCAATGTGTTCAGGGGTGGTTCATGGACAACATAATCGTACTGCAACCACAGTACAGTATTTCATTCATGTCTTTGCTGTTATTTGTGAAGGTTCCTTGTGGAAGTGCCCAATGCAGGATGTAGAATTTTGTTCTAGATTTTGCATAGGAGAAGGAGAACTTTCTTTCATTTCTTTGGCTCTAGCGTGTTCAGCTTCTACTGATATTCCTTTGTCCTACCTCTATTTAATTTAAATATGCTTCATTTGTCCATTCCTTTCAAAATCTCCTTTGTAGTCATTTTTTTTACCTTGAAAAGGTTTATAACAGCACCTGGAGATACAATATTTTAGACCAACTGCATTTTTTTGGCATTCGTGGCAATCTACCTCTTTCCTTCATAGCTTCCTCTCAACATTCGTTTAACCCCAGAACTGCGCCCCCCGACATATTAAGGGGGTGTAGTGGTGCGCTAGCTGACATTAAGGGGTGTGGTGTTATGCCAGCCAACATATTAAAGTGTGGTGATGTGCCAACCGACATATTAACGGGTGTGGTGGTGCGCCAGCCAGCCATTCATTAAGGGATGTGGTGGTGGTGTGCCAGCCAACATATTAAGGGATGTGGTGGTGGTGTGCCAGCCAGCACATTAATGGGTGTGGTGGTGTGCCAGCTTCCTAAGGCCATGGGCAGCCATACTATGAGCCACATTATATATTTCAGGCAAAATGTATGCTATAGCCAATTATAAGATTTAGGCTTAATAGATACAGTATATGAATAAATAAATGGTCTGTATATAATTATAAACATATCTATATATGTATATTTCCAAAATTATACATAATGAACACCATCTTTGATGCATAGATACAACTTGTTAGAGCAAAAAACTAAAAGGGAGAAACATTGAAAATAAATTGAAAAAGTTATTCCCCTGTGGCAACTCACTTCATTTTTACAACAAAAATGCTACGTGTCCAGGCCACTACAGCTAAACTACAAGATAGAGACTTTTTACTTTGATTTCTGTGCTTCCTGTGTGCTAATTAACAATATCAAAAGAAAAAATAAATTTTTTGGAATTTATTTATTTTCGGTGCACCACAGGAATTTAATTGTGAAAGGTGTGCAGTGCAGGGGGCTAGGCCTGGTACTGCTTTCTCCAACTTTTTGTTTTCAACAATATGGTGTTTCCCTAAGGTAGTATCATGAGCACTACTACCTTTTTTTTTTTATCCTGGTTGCCCTTAATCATCTTTCTCCTTCCACCCCCCCCCCCATTCCCTAACAAGCATTTTCTCACCCCTTTGTTAATGATCTCACAGTGCTAAGATCATTCTCTTTCCTCCAGTGCCAGCTCCAGCTTGCAACTGATAATGTATCTTCCTGGGCCACCAATCATGACTTCAAGTTCTCTACAACTAAGATATGTGCTATGATTTTTACTTGACTGCATGTCATTCCATGTTGTTGCTCTATGGAAACAATCTTCCCTCTTTTGTATAGGGATAATGCTAATCTTTGGGTTGATCTTTGACACTCAATTTGTCTTGGTTATCCCATATGTCTCCCCTCCAAATTAAATGCTCTATGTCCCTTCCTTAATTTTGTCTTGTCCTCCTGGGAAGCTGATAGCTCCACACCACTCACACATGCTGTCTAAACTGAATGGTGACTGTCCCATCCATTACTCTGCCCTGTCCTGTGGTCCTGTCTTCATGCTGTGTCATATATATGCCTCAACTTTAGTGCCTTTTTGTTCGTCCCCCACCCAGGGTTTGCATATTGAAACCATCATCCTGACTCTACAGGGTTGTCATAAGCATTACTGCCTTCACTGCCCCCACGGTCCCTGCAACATCCCCACTCCCACATGTGCCATGCATAAATAAATACTGTTCAGGGGGACCCTGTTTCCCTCCACCACCTTCCTTTTCTTGCAAGGATGGCTTGTTTGCAAGAAAAGCAAAATCTAGCATTACAGGAAGCAAACTATACTTTTTCTAAAAGGTGACCCATTTCCTTGGCCTTCTTCCTACCACTGTAATAAATGGAAAATGGTTTTGGTTAGGTTGTGTATTGGCCCAATGTGCTTAACTCACTGGAACTTAATGGAATGCCACCCTGCTCCTTATTGTCTGAACTGGATTGTCCCTCTTACACTTGTGCACCACCTTGTAGAATGTACCAATTTTCAGGATGTTCTTGTGTTTTGCTTCCCAACTGTCCCCTCAATAGACAGGGGGACAAGGATTCACAATCCTTAGTGAATCTGATGCCTTTGATATCACTCGCTGTTACAACCTCATAGCCCATAACCGGGTTCTTTACTTATCAAACTGTATATGAGGCCTTAGTGCCTCTTCTTGCCTGATCCCACCCTGAGTCATAGGAAGTTATTAAGAACTGGCAATAATAAATTATGTGCCTCTTAAAGGAAAAGGGGGTAAACAACACTAAACAGAACCATCACCAAATGTACCTCTTAACTATATATACACATATGTACATGACATAACACTGCAGCTGTTAATTTTGCACAGGACACTACAAAACTTCTGCAATCTTCTTTCCCAGGGAGTCCACTTCTATCTATTATCGTACACCATTCAAGGTTCCCTCCCTGAGTCTGTCTTCTACAGTCCTCATGCTGGCGAGTTCACCTTTCTCAGTAAATCATGGATCACTCCTACACAGTATCGTCATGGTGCCAAAACACCACATCTACTCTCTTGCAACACACTGGCAGAGGTCTCCAACAACTCACTGGCAGGGGTCTCCAGTAACACACTAGCAGACTTCCACACAGGCTTAGCCTTAACAGATGGACACTGATTCCATCTCTTAACTTGCCCATCCCGGGATACGTTGGTCCAATCACCAATACTTCACTAAGTATCACAGACAAATCACAGTCTGCACCAACTCGGCCACTTGTTCCCACTGGAACATGTCTGGAGTTCAGGACTGCCCTGGGTGAACCGATTCCTGTCAACCAAGATACCACCCACATCACTTCTGAGTAGTAAAAAAAGTGATTAGTAAGAAACTACACAGGTGTCAATAAGATCACAGCCTTCCTCCGGAGAACAAGAATTGTGGTCCGGTGCACTCATCAGATGGCGTTGACATCGGCACACCTTCCCTTCTAAAAGAATTTGGGTCGGGTGCCCTCAACATATGGCGTCGACATCGTCACACTCGCCTTGTGTGCTCATATAGTATTAGCATCCTCAGTGATATTTAGCAACTTTCGAATATCCAGCAACACCAATGGTGCTACATAGTCTCCCAGCTTGGTGCCTTCTTTTGATAATTACTTATTTAATATAACAATACCAAATATGGTCCAGATTGAATTGCTCCACTTAGTCATGCCCCTTCCTGTAGAATGTCCTGAGTTTCAAGGTGATTGAGGGACATTAGGAGAGCAATATGTACAATCTCTTATCCCTGGACAGAATCCTTGGTGAATCTGACGTGTCTTATATTTTTATCATATTGGCATCCCGAGTCATATTTAGCACCTTTTTAATATCCTGCCAGACACTGCTATATAGTCTTCCTGGATTGGCTCCATTTTTTATTATTATTACAGAAAATGAGCTGCTTGATATCTTTAATCTTGGAATTGGGGCATCACCATCACTATTTGATGCATCCAAAATCATTACCCTCATTACAAAATGGTATTTTATGAATTTTAGAAGTCATTTATTTTTTTAATTTATTATATTAAAATTACAAAAAAGTTTAGAGGAAGTATGCCATCTGATAAAAAGTACATTTTACTTTATTAGACTATTTATATATTTACATTTAATAAACTCTCAACATAAGCTGAAAATCTACTTTTGCATAGTACTGCATAATGTATTATGATAAATACTTCTTAAATGCTACACAGCATTTTATAGACAAGTGGGTTACATAATTGTTAAAGTTGGTCGTTCAGATGAAATAAACAGTTTTTATATACTGTATAAATATTTCACAATTACTGAATTAACAGCATTCAAAAGGTGTGACATAAGCTCGACAGGAAATGCTTGAATAGCAAAGTCTACTTAAGCATTATAAAATATCAATCCACCTATAAAATTTTACAGATTTATCTGTTAACAAGGTTAAATACTCATTTTGATTACTCCTCACTGGAAGAATGTCTATTACCGTGTCTGGACCTCGGAGCTGCTGTAAACAAGATGTAGACGACAAGTCCCACAGACACGTGCTCCGAGTAGACTCATCACTAGCACATGCCACGAGGTTTCCCTCCTGAACTGGATTAACAAAAGCACATGAGCGGGAAAGAACTTTTTGGGTTGTCCCACCTTGGAAAATGTGGATTGTATTTGCAGTAACAACTTGATTCAACTCTGCTAAATCAGAACTAATATCAACACTTTGGAGTTCGCAAATTATGTGCCTTGCATGAGGGTACTTTTGGCTAGGACGACACGACACTAAAATGTGCCGAGTGGACTTCTCCAGTGACACACAGGTAAATGGACCTTCAAGCGGCAATGCGTGGTCTTTAACTCCTCCTTCATTCACTTCCACAAAGGAGCATGACTGAAGTCTTGCCACAAGCAGTCCTCCAGTTCTGAAATTTGCATCTGCATTATATGGTACATAACACATAGATACTACAGGTCCAGAGCCAGCTACTTTTATAGTTTGAATTGGACCCGTTGTGTTGCGAGTATCATACTCCACTACAGAACCTGTTGCTGTACCAACAAAAAACTTATTGGCTTCATCAGCATTCCAGCAGCAACTCCATAATGGAGCTTCTGCCATAAATGATGCAACAGGGGCATTGCTGCAAATATTTGTTAATTTTACCATTTTATCCATTGCAACAGAAAGCAGCAAGTCATTTTTGGCTGGATTAAAAGCCAAATCTCTGATCTGCTTCTGATGAATGTGTACATATCTCTCAGGCTTCAGATCTAACATATTCACTTTCCTCACACCATATCCAGGAAACATTGTGACCTGGCTTGGCATGGATACCACCAGCATATTGAGCCATTCATTGTAAGCCATCACTCTACATCCACCATCCTTAGCTATGTCAACACCAGAATGCATTATCAATTTTGCCTTCCTTTGACTACTACTTCCAACATTCTGGGAGAAGTTAACTCCATGTGAACCACTAGTACCTGCTGTAGCATTCCTTAGTATTTTTAACTCTTCTTGAAGCTTTACAACAAGTTGTGCCTTAAGTTCATACTTGAGCTTAGTTTGAGCATGTTCAAGCTCCAACTTCCTCTTTGCCTCCTTCTCCCGTTCCAAGTCCTTCAGAATCTTATCTCTTTCTGAGGTGTCTAGCACTTTGAGAGACTTGGCATACAGTACTCTAATCTCTTTTTTTGTGGCCTTTGCATTACACTGAGGACACTTGCCTTTTTGACCCTTTAGCCAACGGATAATACATGCATGTCCAAATAAGTGTCCACACTTGAGGGATGATAATCGATGATCTCCTGAATTGCCCCAGGGTTCAAAACATATTGAACAGATCTGACCTTCATCTTCTGACTCTGGTGAACCTGGTACTGATGCACAAACTGTAATTACAAAGAAAATAATAATTACACAAGATTAAAACAATTACTCCAGAATATAACCTTCCCTTCATGCATACACTAATATAGACTTAAAATTAAAAGCAGGAGACTTTAACCAATCGACTGCACTGATGGAAGGAATTTTATAACAAGCAGCGACATTCTGATTTACCATACTGTACTTAATTTTCTCTACTCGATGCACCCCAGGTGCATGATAATTCCAAATTCAGTGTACTAATTCACTATAAATGTCACCACCTCAAGGTAATTTCCTTATATTCAGCTTTCTTTCTATACGTACTACCCTCCCACCCCGAATAAAATGTGTCTTCTCTACAGTATTCCTATTTGTGGCATCTTCTATTAGAAAATGGGTACTATGTATAGTTTCATTCTATTTGCATTGTAGCATTTAGTCAATAAAATATGCATTGTAGCATTTAGTCAATAAAATATGCATTGTGTTAATATACAGTAAGCTACTTAGAATACAGTACTGTAGCTCCTTGTACCTCCAGACTGTAACACTAAATGTGTTATGCCAAAAACAAAAGTATTGCTTTTGATACAGATGGCATGAAGACCTAGAATAGTGGCAAAGTGAGGCATAGCCAGAACAAAACACAAACTATGGTGCGCTGAACTGATTAAAGCCACAGAAAATGTAAAAAAATCTATGAAGCAGCCAGTGGAGGCAGAGAGACTTAAAAATTTGGCATGAATACCATTGGCATGAAACAAAGAAGCAGCCAGTGGAGGCAGAGAGGAGTACCATTGGCATGAAACAAAGAAGCAGCCAGTGGAGGCAGAGAGGAGTACCATTGGCATGAAACAAAGAAGCAGCCAGTGGAGGCAGAGAGGAGTACCATTGGCATGAAACAAAGAAGCAGCCAGTGGAGGCAGAGAGGAGTACCATTGGCATGAAACAAAGAAGCAGCCAGTGGAGGCAGAGAGGAGTACCATTGGCATGAAACAAATCCGAGGTACAGTACTGTATATTCCACAAATTTGCACCCAGCAAGTGTAGGCTCTCAGGCCAATATTACCATGTCCTAAAAATACAAACACTGAACACAGCCTATATAACAAAGGTTGATGTAAAGGACACAAGCAACACACCATAAATGAGGAGAGCAAGAGCAAAATGTTGACATGTCACAGTAACAACTGATGTGTAACCTGGGTGGATCCAGTAAATGGATGCACGGTTACCTGGTGGCAGGTAGCTGCTACTAGTAAGTAATTAATGTGGGTGGATCACATCAAGGTCTTGTTTTCTGTGTTGATTTACCTTGCTGTTTATTTTGTATTGTTCTACCTATCTGGTGGCCTTTTCTTGGTTTGAGTGATCTTATCCTTAGCTTCCTGCACCTCTATAGAGGACTACATTCTGTCCTCTGGTTCCCGGTAGGCCATGGGTCCACAAACCCTTCAGCTCACCGGCCTCTTCACAAAGCTCCAGAATGTTGTAAATCCAAATGTAAATACATTTGGATTTAGGGCAGTCTTAGATTTAGGATTTTTGGATTTTAGATGCTTGTCTGTATTAGTAATGCACAAGTCTGATACTTTGCACACGATTTCCAGATGCAGCAATTACCTTCATTCCTTACGCACGATTCTCAAGACTCATTCCCACTCTGCCAATCAAGTCACCCACAACAACAATTCTGTAAATTCTTGACATCATACTAATCTCTCTCTCTAAATTGCTCCATAACTCTCTCCAGTTCTCATTTGTCACAGAACTGAGCACGAGCAATAATCACTGTTACCTTAACCCTTTCATAGTTGAATATCTGTTCATTGCAGCATACTGTACCAGAATTTATTCATTAAAAGGTCTGTTATAAACTCAGCTTATAATTAGCCTATACTGTACATTATTCTATTTTTATGATATATGTCTTGTCAATATAAGTTTCAAGGTAGCTGCTACAAGCTAATTATTGTATACTTCTTCAATCCAGCTGCAACTGTAATGATTTGTATAAATTACTTGTGAATAAAAATCAATCTATCATTTTGCCTTATTTCTGCTCTAATAATCCTTACCCGATTCTTCTCTTCATTTGCCCTTACACATAAATTAAGCTCACCGATCGTCACTGCCTTAAAACTTTAACCACTTCCATTCTCTTTTTCTAATTTATTCTCCTCACATATAACACAGACCTACAATCTCAACTACTTCCAGATAGGTGAACCCTACATCCAAGGCCACTTTTGCTTATTGTGGGAAGAAATATAGGAAAATAGGTTTTCTTTTTGTGCCAAATCTCAATGCGATATATTGACGCTAGTGCATACTCCTAGTAATCAGAATGCTACGAATTGCAACTGATCACACAACCAGAACCGATTCCTTCTGGTAAGTTACATTTTCCATTAAACCATTTTCCATCATATTTTCCATCATCGTACAGGTATTGATGAAAAGCAAATAGCTCATACGAGAACTTAAGTTAGTAATGCCTGGAGGTAAAAATTAGTGTAAGAAGGAATGCCATTACCTGGATTTGCCTTCTGTGGAGTGATATTACAAGATGGCCCTGCCTGAATGTTTGGTTCACTGACTATAGAGGGAGCCAGTGGTTGTTCCACCACAGCAGCAGAGGTACTGGATGACTCCCGATTTGAAGCTTCAAGTAAACCCGAAGACTGTTGCTCTGGTGCAGGATGTGGCAACCGAGACACAGGCAAGGCATCTGGTAAGTGACGAGAGTGAGCTGGCCCTGCATCTGATGGATCTTCTGCCCGCTCTATCCACTGCTCAGATGGATGTTGAGGCTGGTGCTCGAAACTCATATTGGGTTCATCTGGCTCATGCTATAAATATTTAAACAAAAAAGACAATTGTTCAGATAATTAAATATTTAATAAATTTGACATTACCACTGGCCTTAAACCCATTTCTTTGTGATGTCTTTATCCATGATCATACATATCAATCATATCTCTTGAGCTTAGACATATCTACATCCCTTTCATAACTTTTTCAGTTGCTTGATGAACAGTATGAATAAAATGGGGTTATTCTCTACCTTTATCTTGGCTATCAATTACCCCTCTAATTCCAAGTTATGTTTATTTACCATGATTAACACAAGTATAAACCACCCACTCAAGTGCTTGAATCTCATTAATCCCTTCATGAAACTCAAATAACAGTAACTAAAACTACATATATGAAGCACACAAAATACATCATTGAGTGTAATAATCGCTTCTTTCTGGACAGCATCTCGATAGCTCCTCTTAGCTCATGTCACTGGCAGAATTAGGACATTGTGAGTATCTTAGGCTCATGGCGACTAACTGGTGACTATCTCAAACCACCAAGAACAAGAAGGAGTTCAATTTGTTTTTCCCCCTCAATAGAGCAGAGAGCATGTGAGTATCAGAAATTAACTCCCTACTGAGATGTACTGCCCAAATAAATCAAGTGTTGAATATAATGAAATGCTCTTTTCTTGTGGCTCCTTAGTGGCTTCCAGACTGGTACTGTACTCTGAAACCCACCCATCACCTACCAGGATTTAGGATCAGACTCTGCCTCACTCTAAATGGTAAAGAGAAGATTAAAGGTTAACCACCAAACTGGAGAAAGTAACAACAAAATAAAAACTGCCTGAAGGAAATTAAGCATAACTAGGTAGATAAGAAAAACAATCATTATCAAGAGGTAAATACCCAGACTGAGATGCATTGTACTGGCACCAGATGGTAGCTCAGGTGACCTGTAGTCTCAGCCAGCCAGCCCCCCCTCACTCTGAAACAACCTGTATGAAACCCCGCAGCCACAAGGAACAGAAGGGAACAGGGCATTTCATTACATTCAAATACATAACTGATATTAACCAGAGATCAAAGAATGGCTGATCCCGTTGGTAAAACAGAGAACACATTCCCTCCCCTTGGGCTCAGCCAAGGGCCAAATGAAACAAAGCGACAGTATAGGCAGCAACTGGCAAAACAGAAAAGACCTATGGCAACAGAAATGTAGGAAAAATGCCAAAGACAGGAGCAGGCAGAAGGCCTGCAAAGTCACCACATAATGCTTCTGAAAACGAAAGATGCCAACATGGCACTAAGAAATCTGCAACCCATCTCTGAAATCTATATAAATAAAAATGGAAATGTTCATTTGTGCATAACTGCTAATCTCCGAAAGTTCTTCATCGATTGCTTTGAAATTTTCACACAACGTTCCATTCGCATCCGGCCAGGTTTTTATATACATACTGTACTATATAGATGTCACGTCTGTGATGGTAAAAAAACATGCTTTTTCTGAAAAAAAAAATTTTATGTGTTTTTTATGTGTTTTTCATGAGAGGGGAAATCTTCGTAACCTTTTTACCGATTGCTTTGAAATTTTGATGCAACTTTGCATTCGAATAGACGTGTCTTTTTATATACCTACTATATAGATGCCACCCCCTCTGACAGGTAAAAACATGCATTTTTACCTGTTGCACATAATGGCAACATGCACGCTATATTAAATATGTCACGAATTCCATTTCATTGTTTCCAATTGCATTGATAAATTTTATTTTTCATAGATTTTGATTTATTTTATTTTTATTGAATTATTTTGTGTGACATTGTGTTGGAATTGAGCTGTGTTGTTTACCATACCGTTCATTTCGTAAGTATAAGTATAGATGTCACACACCTGTGACAGGTAAAACTATGCTTTACTTCAAAAACAGCACCATCTGTTGCATGTAAGAGCTACACACATGCTATACTAAATATGTTGCAAATCCATTTCAATGTTTCTGATTGCATTGCTAAATTGAATTTTCATAGATTTTGATTTATTTTCATTTTCATTTAATTATTTGTGTGAATTGCTTTGGAATTTAGGTGTGTTGTTTACCACACCGTTCATTTCGTAAGTATAGTTTTTTTTTTCATATTTTCATTTCATTTTTTAACTGTTTTTCTTATATTTCAGTGATGGGAACATCAGATCACTTGATGAGAGGAAAGTGACCTGTAAACAACTTGGGCAATTCTTAGCTACCAGAAATGCTGACAATAAAGCCATAGCACAGTCAGTAGCAAGAGACTCCCAACTCAGACTGCAACAATTACTATATGTAGTATTAACATGTGGGTGGCAGAAAAGCACACCACAACTGCCAATCTCATCCAAATCCATGGTCAACCGAGACTAAAGCTGTGGAAATTAACTACCATGAATAAAACTTTGTTATACAGGAGACAACTGCTGCATTTGAACCTGCGATGAATTTCATCTCATCTGTAACAAAACCACTCTAATTTATCGTTAATGTATTGATTGCAAGTCGTAGCAGATATTTATATACGCGCTATAAATCTCTACAGTACTGTATATGGAATAAACAGTACTAATAGTGTTGACCAAGACAGCATTGTAAATTAAATTAATCCAGCTTCACTCGCCCAGGTTATTATTGTTATTCTGCAATATAACCAGACCAGGAATTATGTTACTACCATTGTCACAGATAGTACCAAATAAATACAATAATAAAAGCCAAAATCTAACTTGGCTGTTTTCTAGTTTTGTATAAAATGGTTTTGACATGGGATGGGTCTGCCACTGGCATTCATGAAAGACCTGTCATGACAGCTGAGTGGACAGTGCTCGGGATTCGTAGTCCTGAGGTTCCAGGTTTGATCCCCGGTGAAGGCGGAAACAAATGGGCAGGGTTTCTTTCATCCTGATGCTCCTGTTCACCTAGCAGTAAATAGGTGCCTGGGAGTTAAGACAGCTGCTACAGGCTGCTTCCTAGGGATGTGTAACAAGAAGGATGCCTGGTCGAGGACCGGGCCGCAGGGACGTTCACGGTTGTTCCGGCAATATTTCTTATACTCGCTGGGAGGGTGTTGAACAACCGTGGACCTCTGATGTTTATACAGTGTTCTCTGATTGTGCCTATGGCACCTCTGCTCTTCACTGGTTCTATTCTGCATTTTCTTCCATATCATTCACTCCAGTACATTGTTATTTTACTGTGTAGATTTGGTACTTGGCCCTTCAGTATCTTCAACGTGTCTATTATTTGATATCTCTCTCGTCTTCTTTCTAGCGAGCACATTTTGAGAGCTTTGAGATGATCCCAATAATTTAGGTGCTTTATCTTGTCTGTGCGTGCCGTATATGTTCTCTGTATTCCCTCTATTTCTGCAATCTCTCCTGCTCTGAAGGGGGAAGCGAGTACCGAGCAGTATTCGAGACGGGACAACACAAGTGACTTGGAGAGTACAACCATTGTGATGGGATCCCTGGATTTGAAAGTTCTTGTAATCCATCCGATCATTTTTCTGGCTGACGCAATATTTGCTTGGTTATGCTCCCTAAACGTTAGGTCGTCAGACATCATTATTCCCAAATCCTTTACATGCTGTTTTCCTACTATGGGCACATTTGATTGTGTTTTGTACCCTGTATTATGTTTAAGGTCCTCATTTTTACCATACCTGAGTACCTGGAATTTATCACTGTTAAACATCATGTTATTTTCTTTTGCCCAGTCGAAAACTTTATTAATATCTGCTTGAAATTTTTCAATGTCTTCAGCCGAGGTAATTCTCATACTGATTTTTGAGTCATCTGCAAAGGATGATATAAAGCTGTGTCTTGTATTTTTGTCTATATCTAATATGAGAATAAGGAAAAGCAGCGGTGCAAGGAGTGTACCCTGAGGTACAGAGACAACACGGGTTCAGAACAGGGTGCTCCTGCCTCTCACAGTTGCTAAATCACCATGACATGGCCTTAGGCACCATGGTAAACACAGATGTAATATACATAGACTTTGCAAAAGCTTTCGACAAATGTGAGCATGGTGTTATTGCAGACAAAATGTGTGCAAAACAAATTACTGTACTGGCAAAGTAGAGAGATCTACTGTCAGAAGACCTTACCTTTACAGAACACTATAAAGTTGCTGTCATGACCGCAAGAAAAATACCAGGTTGCATAACAAGGACCTCTAAGCAAGGGACGCCATACCAATGATGATACTTTTCAAGGCACTAGTACTCTCTAGGGTGAAATATTGTAGCTCTAACAGCCCCATTCAGAGCTGGAGAAATTGTTGACCTAGAGAGCGTGTAAAGATTCTTTACTGCTAGAATTCTTACTATAAGTCATCTTAATTATTAGGACCGATTAAAAGTTCTAAATCTGTATTCTCTAGAGCGAGAGAGATACATAATAATCTACACGTGGAAGATATTAGAGGAACTGATTCCAAATCTGAACACAGAAATAACATCACACGAGAGAAGTAGGCATGGCAGGATGTGCAAATACCTCCGTTGAAAAGCAGAGGTGCAATATTTACGCTTAGGGAAAACTCTATCGACGTCAAGAGCCAAAGACTTTTTAACACTCTCCCGCTACACATAAGGAGCATAACTGGCCAGCGTCTCACAGTGTTTAAGAGAGAACTCGACAAACACCTCCAAAAAATATCTGATCAACCAGGCTGTGATTCGTACATCAGGCTGCGAGCAGACACGTCCAACAGCCTGGTTGACCAGACGATCAACTGGGAAGCCTGGTCGGAGATCGGGCTGCGAGACCGTTGATCCCCGAAAGCTACACAAGGTAGCCACAAGGTAAGTGACTGTTGAAATGGGTTATTTTCTCAATTTTGAATACTTAGACAACTTAAACAATAGTCCTATATGCAGGACAAATCACAGGTAGATATTTTCTATTTTATGTTGTGTTAAGACATCAGTGTGTGATGTGGTGTAGAGATTTTCTTCATAGTATAGTTGGCTTGCTACTGTTTCATGGGGAAACAGGAGCAAGTGCAATACACACAAGGCAAGCCAAGCATAATGCCGCCACTGCCTCTCAATGGATAGGGAGCCCTGACAAGGCTGCTGAATCCAACACTGCAGACAACATGGCCTCCACACCTGGGATCAAAGCAAGTTAATCGAAGCCTTCACAGCGCTTGTCTGTAAAAAGCTCCATGAGAGCCCAAAAGCACATGACAGTCACTAAGTGGGTACAAACCCTGTGGTCACCCACAATAAGAGCTTCAGAAAGCACAGGCAGCTACAGAGTTGCCACTTGCCAATGTCCTTGGGAGTACCAGAACAAACAGGCAGTCCTCAGGTGGAGAATAAGGAGAGTGGATACAGAACACTTCAAAGACGAAACTCACTTCCGCCAATCAGCCATCTGTGTTCAACAGAACCCATGCCAAGCCCCATGGAAAAAGAGAGGGTTGTCAGCCAGCCAGCATGAATCTGGGAACTTATAATGCAGCCAATAAGTCGAGGCAGACTTATACTCGAGTGAGATTGGGTCCATCAACAAATGGAGGTCCAAATCCAGGAGGTACTGAAACAGGTCCACACGAGCCACAAACAATGCAACGCGAGACGATGGAAACCACTGGACATGAGACGAGTCTTATGCACTGAATGGCACAGGGAGCTGCTGAGTAATCAAACTCATACATTGAAGGGGGGAGGATAGAAAAAATCTTTCCCCTGGATAGAAAATACTCTCCATCTAAGGAATCAATGTCCATGGAGGGTTGAAAAGCACCTATGGAATCCCCTCAGGCTCCCTCCCACCCCTGGAAGCTAGCCGTGATGGCCCCAGGATAGTACATTGAATCTTGTTTGGTGACTCGATGTACTGTGCGAGTTGATATCTAGTAACCACACGCTCCTGGCCACATTTAGGTGACAAAATTATTTGAAATAGCCCTTGTCCACAGTGGGTCAAGACAGTCACCACAAGCAAGGTGTGTCCACAATGACATAAGCAAAGGGGGTGCTACAGAGGGAGTTAGCCCAGAAAGGAGTTAACTGCAGACACTAACCTCATCTGTCTCCTCAATGACCTCTACATCAACCTCTTGTATCACCCCTTGCCTTTCTTCAGTTCTTATGGTATGTATTCTTTGACTTTCTTGTGATCTTCTTTCCCCAATTATGGGACTTCTACTTCCATCCTATGAAAGAAATAAACACTAGAGCAGTTCAAATGTACTAGTAAAACACCATGTTCCAAAGTATAGTGTAGAATATTTAAGGCGTTACACAATCATACATGATCATTTTACTCCTGTAATATTATAATTGCATCATCTCCATTCACCTGGGCTCTAGGAGACTCAAACCATGGATCCCACGCGTGTGAGGCTGAAGCTCTATCGACTGGGCTATGAGTAGTGTTAATAAGGAAAGTTTCCAGAAGCAGCATCCTGCTGCCAAACTGGAATTTTCAACTTTCCCTGACTACTTCTGGAGCTCAGAGGAAATAGTGATCCATGCCCACATCAGAGAAATTATTATCTACACTTCCGTGGAAATAGACATTCCATTCACCTGGGCTCTCCTAGTGCCCAGATGAGTGGAATGTTTATCGCCATGGAAGTGTCAATGACAATTTATTGTATCATCTTTATGACAATATTTCATATTACTGTATTAAGAAATGTCAATCTTGGCCAATATCACAGTCCCATTACCTATGTAAACCAAAGATCAAGCAGTGAACTTAATGAAATGCCCTTTGAGGGTGAGCCCTTCCCAAACTTCAGCGCTTATACTGTATGGTTCAGTACTGCCAAGCTTGAGGAAATTATACCCGGCCTCTTAGATCCACCCCTGCCTGCTGGGAGCCAGGCCTGAATCTTGCTCTAAGAGTCAAGGAGAACCTTTGGAGTGGAGATCATCCCAAAATCAAGGAATATTAAGTCCTCCCCAGATGGATTGTGTAACACAACCAAAGTACACTTTCTGTAAATTGAGTCCAATGCAATAGGGCCCATTTAAGTGGGAGTCTACTGGACTGCATATTGTAAATATGGAGTTCATAGTACATTTGTTGTTTTATACATAATCCTCTCAGCATGTCCAAACCACCACAAAATACCTGTATTTCTAACCAAAATTATTTTCTCAGCCATACCACACTGTCACATCTCTTAATACCTTTATTTCTCAAAATGCAGTAATGTATTATACAGTACAGCACTGTATTTCCCATTTGTCAATTCCTCCAGTTTGTAAATTAAAACCTCCCCTTTGTATGTCATTATATATTGATATTTTGATCTTTTGATGAGCAGAAAAAGACCAATTGATTTTTTTGTTTTCATATACAGTACAGTGGCACCTTGGTTTACGAATTTAATCCGTTCCAATAGACAGTTATTACACTGAAAATTCGAAAACCAAAACAAATTTTTCCATAAGAAATAATGTAAATTGAATTAATCCGTTCCACACACCCAAAAAAAAAAGCTAGGAATGTAATGAAACGCCATTTTCTGGATGAGCCCCGGAGGCTCCCTGAAGCTATCAGGCTGATGTGTGTTATATTAGTCTAGGGCATCAGTTAACTGGAGTTTAGCCTAACAGGGACCACGAGCCAAAACCTGGCCCCCTCAGAGAGGCAAAGGGCGCAATGGCCTATAGAAACCCCCATGTGGTTGGGGCATTCCATGTCTGCCATCAACCGGGGTTGGCACCCAGAAAGGTAGGCATAACAAAACAAACCCCACTAGGTAATAAACCGTGACCAAAAAATGAACAGAGAAGACGGTTGATGAAGAAGACGAAGACCGAAAGTTCATCTTTGCTCGTCTTTGGAAGACGAACCGAAGACGGCAGGGAGGCAGAACTCGCCCTACAGCTTAAAGAAACAAGCAGACATCACACCTCACCTCCTGTCCATGCTGTCCCCCCCCCGCCTACCCCTGCGCCGGCTACCCAAGCCATCTAGTTTGGAGTTTGGAGCCATCTGATTAGAGCGAGGGAAGGTGGCCGGGGAACCTCTGGGGCTCACCGAGAAAATGGTGCTTCATTACATTCAATCCTGATTTTCTGTGAGGAGCCCCTACATCTTCCTGGAGCTACATCACCAAAGAGAAGGTATTTGGGACTTACCCGGGAGGTGGAACAGCTGGGTCCACCTCCCGCCACTCACTCCTCAACTCAAAGTCAAGACAACTGGCTGCAACCTGTGACCCAAAGCCACACATGGACGACTAGAACCAGGAATGTAGACAACATAACACATGGCCAGGACCCTGTTCGACCTACAAAATGACTGTCAGCCCAGGTCATATTGCTGAAGATGGCAGTCAAAGCAGCAAACTTACGAACGTCGTGGGCACGAGGATGGACAGGCTGTCTAGCACAGGCTGGCTAGACTTAAAAAGGTAAGTGCAACAGCCTGCTACAGCTTTATCCGGGTGAGTTTTTCAGCAAAACTTTGCAGTTTTCCCAACCTACACACTATTTCTTAATGAGGAAGCAACATCCTTTACTCTCAACTATTTTCTTAGGTTGAACTTTACCACTGACTTTCTTGGGACCCATGGTGTGATATATAATAAAAACTAAAAATTATTGTAAAGATTAACAATAAAATGAGCATCACTGCCATATAGGCTATTTTATGGCACTATGTGGTCTATTCAAGGCACAACAAAATCTATCATTTATCTTTCAAATTAACATTAATTTCCTACCTGTATTCAGCTTTAGGGTTTTCCATGACATAATGGTTTGAACTTATTAACTTGTGATTAATTTATATAAAATACAAATATTGAGCCAAAATATAAATTATAGAACATTATTGTACATCTTGTTATGACTCTGGATTCAGTGTTGCTGTTACAAATGGATCCAGGATTGTTTCGCATTTGAAACAAGTAGTGTATTGCGAAGACTAATAATAAACAGCAGCTTCCCTATGACTCTGTAATATCTCCACTGCTCAAACAATTGTGTACAGTATTAGCAATCAGACCTACCATGTATGTATAATGACTTCCTGTTAATATATAGCCCTTGAAATAGAACATTCTCAGTAACTAGCTGACATGGTAACCATAAAGTGTGAAGGATAGATGAAATTGTTTATGCAATAATCTAAGTTGAGGTCCGATAAAGACCTTTTGTGCCCTGTGTAATGCTTTTTGCACAACCGCTCACAGGATGAGTATGGGGTGAACAATAAACTATCCGCCTCTGGCGGCAACGATCAAAAATTTTTTGACATAGATGATGTAGGGACCCTTCACTTGTGTATTCATTTTAGTGTGATAGGCCCTGAATATGTTGGATTATATGTTTGATTAGTGTTATTTAAATTACTATACTGTATAGAGTTTTTAGATAGGTTTGGTTAAAGAAGGAGTGTTATTGTCTGGAAAGTTTATACATAGTATTGTTTTCTCAAATTGCAAATGGCGGGCGATTGCGTCCTTGCCAGACGTAAGAGCATTTTGATGCTCCTAGTTTTTTAGTTACACTGTGATAATACTGTAATTTGTTAGTGTATTTTAAACTAAGATGTTACACTACATTTATACCTAGAACTCAATGTTGGCAATTAATTATTGTATTAAGAGAGTAAGTAAATGGTTACTGTATGATCACCTGATCAAGCCAGACAACCAGCCGCATGGCCAGAGTCAGAGCCCCTCTTTTGTAGCAACTTTGGGATTGGATGGAACTCTTGTCTTGGCATCCCCTCATCCTCTCCTACTCTACTTGTTAAGTTGTAACTAAGTTAAGTACCATTACCAAGTGCCACCCTTCTTTTCTAAGTGTAATCTTGTCTGTGTACCCTGGTCATATCCCGGAGTTCCATTTAATTAGATCCAGGTACTGACCAGTGAACACGTGTCTGGTACAATTATACTCATTTAGGTTAAGTTAAATTGTCCCTTAAGGAATCGTAGACTTTACCACTAGTTTGCTGTATGTGAATCTCGTTTCCTGCCTGTGTGGAGCCAGAGAGGTAACACAAGGTCGAGGTCGTAAAGTATTTCTGTTGTACTGGAGAGGGGATTTTTGGGTTTTAATAAATTTAAGATAGTGAACTTGAGTATCCATCACCCCTCTTGCTTAGGGTTAGGTGATCTGCTCTAGACGGCAGTCCATACGTACAACATTATTTTTTGGGGACATGTTTCCCTGGGAGTCGGGCCTATCCTAACCTCATTAGATGGTACCCTAGCACCCTGTTGTAACCCTAACAGGCCCCCCAATGTAACAGATCTCATTCCAGATCAGCATTTAACTTTTATGGACAAGTGTTCATCCCTTCCTGGTCCATTTATGAACAGGATTCATAAAGGCACATTATACAATCCATTCAAAATTTCACTTCCATTTAAAAATGTAAACAAATGCTTCATAGCCTTTATAAAATTATTACAGCACATCACTATCGAGAACTTTTAATTTGACAGTAAATAACTACAGTACATGTTAACAAAGCCAGCATATCCTATAAGACATCTTATCAATAAAGTACAGAAATGAGAAGTCAATGCTAGATATGTCATACTCACATCTTCCTGCACCATAGCTTCGTTTCTACGAGAACGACCAACATCATTGCCATCAGCATCATCATCATCTGAAATTACACCATTTCAAAGCTACGTGCAAAATATATTCTGACAACCATACTTTGATACTGTTATTACAGTAATATTAAATATCATCTGAAGAGGATCTGCAATATATACAATAATAAAATAAATTATGCCAAGCTTATGGCATGTTACTTAACTTCAAATAATAATGTCCAATTGATGGATCAACAAAAAAAAATATGATCAGAAAAAGACTGAATACACCCATAAAATATTCAGAATGATCTTATAAGTAAATAATGAATATGAAAGAAGGCAACACACACTTTGCACTTTTTTAATTAACATTGCTTCCAAATTTTGTGGCTCATAACTTTTATACCAAGTAATAAATAAATAAATAAATGTTTATTCAGGTAAAGTACATACATACAAGAGGTTTTACAAAAATTGATAGATTTATAGATAGAGCTAGTACATACAATGCCTAAAGTCACTATTACGCAAAGCGTTTCGGGCAGGACAAAAAAGCATGTATTGAAGTATTGAAAAGCATGTAATCCGTAGAGAGCAGAGCATGTTACAGTCCATTTCTCATGTTCATACCCCAAAAAATCTGATGCAGCGAGAGTTGCCATTACCAACTCCTACTGTGCCAAAAGATACAGAGTTCTCAACAGAAATAAACAAGGTAATGCAGACTGCTACATACTGTAAATGGATCAAAACTATCATCACAACTGGCAGATATGGAGGGCTATTAAAAATGTTATGACTCCCTACTACTAAATCTTGGAGAAGTAACAGAAAGCAAGGCAAGCCAGCACATAGGACTATTTCAAGCCCATCACATTACTTGAAGCTACACCTATTCCCTCGATATTGTTCGTCTTGTGTCTTTGCTCATATACTGTATAGTATTAGTATCCTAAATGATGTCATAAAATTTGTGAATATTCTTCAACATACAGTGCTAAGTAGTCTTCCAGTCTTGGCATCTTTTTTTATATTTTTTTTTTTTTTTTTTTTTTTTTTTTTTTTGAGATATATACAAGAGTTGTTACATTCTTGTACAGCCACTAGTACGCGTTGCGTTTCGGGCAGGTCCCTGGAATACGATCCCATGCCGCGAAGAATCGTTTTTTTATCCAAGTACACATTTTACTGTTGCGTTAAACAGAGGCTACAGTTAAGGAATTGCGCCCAGTAAATCCTCCCCGGCCAGGATATGAACCCATGACATAGCGCTCGCGGAACGCCAGGCGAGTGTCTTACCACTACACCACGGAGATGCCTTACCACTACACCACGGAGATGCCACGGAGGGATATTGTTACCTACCTCCAGGAACATCTGTGGATGCCACATCTAGCTGGTTACAAACTCCTGCAATCTTGACTTAAGTGAAAGATAAGAACTATCTTCACCATGGGCCTCCATGGACTAGAGCCTGATAACTGAGTGGAATAGGCCTGACAGCCAAGTGGACATCGCTTTGGATTCGTAGTCCTGAGGTTCCGGGTTCAATGTGGAGGCGGAAACAAATTGGCAGAGTTTCTTTCACCCTGATGCCCCTTTTCACCTAGCAGTATATAGGTACCTGGGAGTTAGAAAGCTGCTACGGGCTGCTTTCTGGGGTGTGTAACAAAAAGGAGGCCTGGCCGAGGACCAGGCCGCGGGGATGCTAAGCCCCGAAATCATCTCAAGATAAGATAACCATTGGATAAAACACTTTCCCAGCCATTTGCCAGTGACAAGTTGGTGGACAAGTGAGATCCTGATAACACTCCAGTAACCACACTCATTTTAGCTAAGTTCACCGGGTAGACACAAACCATCTCCACGATACATAAACCATAGATATTCACAAAATTGGCAAGCACTAATACATTCCTTTTTTTATAATTCTGAATTATATAGTATTTTTTTAATTTGTGGCTGGAAAGTGGAGGGTAAAATGACTGACATGCATTAGCATGGATAAGGTGGGAACATTTATTTGTGCAGATTTTATAAGAACTTAACCCCCCGCACATATCAAAGGTGCCTGTACTTAAAAGCTTAAATTAATCAAGCCTAACTCATGGCCTTTCTCTACTCATCACAAACACAAATCAATATATGCATCCTACACTTCATTACAAATAATGTAATCTGTGGCTCTAAATGTAGCTAAATAACAATCTCCGTGGTGTAGTGGTAAGACACTCGCCTGGCGGTCCGCGAGCGCTTTGTCATGGGTTCGTATCCTGGCCGGGGAGGATTTACTGGGCGCAAATCCTTAACTGTAGCCTCTGTTTAACGCAACAGTAAAATGTGTACTTGGTTGTAACAATGATTCTTCATGGCAGGGATCGCATTCCAGGGACCTGCCCGAAACGCTACGCGTACTAGTGGCTGTACAAGAATGTAACAACTCTTGTATATATCTAAAAAAAAAAAAATGTATTAGACCTACATGAAGATGTTATTTCTTGGTTTCAATCTCGCATTTCAGCATATCTATCAATAAATCACTAATAAATAACTGGCTCCAGCATACCTAACAAAAAAAAAAAGTCTAAAGCTAAAAATTTAATTTGTTCCAAGATTAAAAAAGAAAAACTAGTGTTGAATATAAAGAAACACCAGTTTCTGGGTAAGTCCCAAAAACTTCCTGAAGCTAAGGCACTTAATCAGTGTGATAGCTTCAGGGAGCTGTCAGGGCTCCCCTCAGAAAAGAAAGTCAAGTTCTATTTCTGTCTCTTTGCTCACTGGACATACCTGCAGACATGTCCGTGACATCCGAGTCGTAAGCCACATCATCCATTGCTTCCGTATCTGACAAATGGTAGCTTTCTTCGTTACTCATTGTCAAGCATCAAGGGTCCTGTCTGGTCATCAGCATCGAATAGGTGTCTGTCAGGGTAATTAAAAACTTCCACAATCCATACAAGTCAAATATTATACTTATTATATACTGTATTTTCCATTTATATACAGCTTTGTATATAGTACAGTATCGTATGTTATTCAACACAATATAAATCATGAACATTGCATTTTTTTATCACTTGAAACAAGCTAATTGATTCCTAAATTGCAGATATATTTTATTTAAGGAGTTTCTGAAGCTCCACAGGTAATGCTGCAGAATCACGACTCAATGAGTTATCATTCAATCCATAACAGGTCTAAGTTGGCCGAGTGCTTTTAGCATGTTGTGCATCACATGTACCATAGTATTATGCCGCAGCTTCCATATTATGAAGAAGTTCCTCCTTATCTGGAGATAACCACACTTCACATCTGGAAAATAGCATAAAAGGTGCTATTTTGTTTTACTTACTAGTTCTATTAATAACACAAATTTTACACAAGACCAAAAAATATACAGTATTAAGCCCAAAATCAAATAAACTAAATATTACTGAATACCGGATACGATATAGCTTTTCATATCCACATTAATGATTTACTAAAAAGAAGCAAAAGCAACAGAAAGCCTTAGGCATAATACAGCAAGACATTAAAAGAATGTAAAAACAAATACCATTTATTCCGTATTATGCAGGACTGTCAGATTATGCATGAATGAATTATTATTACCAAAACTTACACTATACTAGTTCAATATTCTATACAAAATCTGAACAATCATAAACTAACCTCTTAAACTTCCAAGTATAGTATTCTTCTTTTTCTGATCAAGCATTATCTAAAGTTTAAATTTCTGTCCAATATTATTACTATTTTAAACAACTTTAAAAACAAAACAAAAAATTAAATATAGCATTCTGACAAATTGAGAAATAACAAGCACTTCTAAACATTCAAACTTGCTGTCTTTTATTGGCAAGTGTCAAGTCCACAAGACGTCCACGTCGATGGGTCTCAATGAACCCCACACGAGGAGAAATTTCATCTACTCATTAAATTATAGTCTTCATCTTTCCTAAAAAAAATTCCTGCAGCAGCTCCTTCCCGCGTTCAACAATGTTTACAATCATACGTCGGTAACAACGAGCCTATCTCGACTACTTCAGGGAAGGCTACAAGCTTAACGAGGATATTATATACAGGAACAGATAAACTAATCAATAAATTCCATTGTTAATAAAGGTGTAATTGGGGTCATTAGTGCAAGTTTAATAAATAATTAGTCAACCCATGTTTTCTTCAGCATGCATAATACCATCCTTGATCCTATAGGCTTAATTGTAGATTGAAACGTTATATGCGTGCTAGTGGCTTTACAAGAATGTAAAATCAACTTCATTACTATATGTCAGTTGCTTAGTTTAGAACCTGTACTTGAGGTCGATCTCGAACCCATTGTTGATGTGACGACTTATATTGAATTTTGTAACTAGCTCATCAAGACTGTAACTTGCTTAGCTAAATGAATTGTGGGGTTCAGTCCCTGAGCCCATTATGTGCCTCTGTAACCCTTTCCACTACCACCCACAAGATGGGTATGGGGTGCATAATAAATGAACTAAACCAACTTTCAATGTTCTCTGTTAACCCACAATGTACCTTCTTGTATATATATAAATAAATAAAATAAAAAAAAATTGCTGCATCCCGCTATGGAAATGACGTGAGATATCTAACATCACCTGTACTACTTACTCTTAAAATAATCAAGTGAACTTTTGACGTAAAGGAAAAGAAGGTAGTTATACAACTGTATAAATCTGTAAAGATTGGATTATTAATGTAACTAATCATGGAGACCTTCTAATCTTCAGAAAGACATATCTGCTGTGGAGAAAGTTTAACAGGGCAACAAAAAGCATTTCAGAACTACCCGGGAAGTCTAACTCTCATACCAGGAACTACTGAAGGCCACAGGACTAGCAACATCATTATAACACTACAAACCAGATAAGACAAGACTGATCTCGTCGATACGTTTGAAATACTCAACAATTTACCCGAGGACCACTAACACTCTAGTGGCCTCGACGAGGACAGGAAACCGACGGCTTGTCAAAGGTCCCCCCCCCCCCCATTTGTCCTGATGATATTTTCTAGCAGCATTTTAAAATTCAATAGTTTCGGCATTTACGGTCTCTGTGGGCAGGGGGTTCCAATCCTGTAGGTGAAAAAGCATCTCCTGTTTTCAGTCCTACAGTGTGGCTTGTTGGACTTGAAACCGTTGCTTCTTGTTTGTGTTACTTCTGACCTTTTGAAGAAGTTGTCTGGATCAACATCTAAATTCTTCAGTATTTTACAAATATCAATATCAACCCTGTCACGTCTAGTTTGCAGTGTTGTTGGCCCTGTGACCCTCAACCGTTCCTGGTATGATAGTTGACTTAGTTCTGGAATAATTTATATTGCCCGGTGTTGAACTTTCTCCAATGCAGCTATGTCTTTCTGAAGATGAGGTTTCCATGCTCGGATAAAATAATCCAAGTAGGGACGCACCAGAGATTTATTCAGTTGAACAACTACCTTTTTTTTCTTAAAGTTAAAAGTACGCTTGATTATTCCTAGGTTTGATTAGCTTTATTTACTGTCGCTTGTGTCACACAACCACTAGGGATGGACGGTCTCCCTTCATGCAGGTCGGCGTTCAATCTCCGACCGTCCATGTGATTGAGCACCATTCCTTCCCTCCGTCCCATCCCTAATCCTTATCTTGATCGATTGATTACGATTAAGCAACCCAAAAGGTGGCACGGGCATGAATAGCCCGTAAGTGGTGGCCCTTTTGAGTCATCACCAGTATCAATAGATGATACTGGAGATCTGTGGAGGTGCGACTGCACCCTGCGTGACGGGAGATGTCTCCAAAAAAAGTTATCCTGATCCCTTCCGAGTGCTATATAGCCGTAATGGCTTGGCACTTTCTTCTGACAGTTCACTTCCCCTTCCCACTTATTGTGCAACTTGCACATCAATATGCTGCAATGTAATGTTGTTAATTTGTTGGTTGTGACGTAGATTCTTTTGCCCCACATACAAGGTCTTGCATTTTTCTATATTAAAAACCATTTGCCAGTCTTCTGGCCATTTGTGGAGTTCATTTAGATTTCTTTGTAAGGTCCGAATATCGTTTTCACTTCCTACTTTTAACATAAATCTTAGTGTCTTCTGAGAATTTGATGGTGTGGTTTGTAATATTCTCATCTATACCATTGATACATGTGGCAAAAAGGGTTGGCCACAAAATATACCCATGAGGTACCCCACTCGCCACATTTCTCACGTCAGATTCATTCCCATTTAGCATGACCCTTTGTTTTTGTTTTTTTTTAATCATTGTTTTATCCATTCTGGTATTCTAGCATGTGTTCATCGTGGATTTATACCTTCTACAGAGGTTCTGTTTAGTTATCAAAGCTCTTTTTACTACCTGCGTCATCCATCTAGTTCCCTTTCTTTTTATTTCTCCTTTTTGGCACATATTTTTAAACGCGTTCAGTAATGACTTTCCTGAAATTTTCCAGTAATGCTTCCATGTTATGGTCACTCATCAGCTCCCTCCAGATGGTGTGTCGCAGTTCCTCTCTCATTCCCTGATAGTGGATCGTGCTAACAGACCCACTATCGGAGGGTCGTTAGTATTAAAACAGAGGGTCGTGCTAAAGGTAAGGAATCTGACTGGAGAAATGTGGTAAGTGGGATACTACAGGGGTCCATTTTGTGACCAACACTTTTTGTCATATGCATCAATGACATACATGAGAATATCACAAACCACACCATCAAATTTGCAGATAATATAAAGATTTGTGATAAATTAGAAAATTGAAATAATAATAATAATTAATTCATTGTGTCGGGGGACAGGCAAGCCCGTTTATATATATAGTACATGTTTCAGTTATATCGTGGGCCCTCCAAGGTCGACTTGCTGACCCTTCCCAGGATGCATCTCCACAACAACCTAACTCCTGAGTACTTATTTATTGCTAGGTAGACAGGGGCATTAGGTGATAGGAAACGCATCCAAATATTTCTGTCTCGTCCGGAATTCTCGATTGTGAGTCGAGAACGAACCCGACTGTACTACCGGGACCTAAAATGATATTGAAATGCAAATGACATTGGATGAAAATAATATTGAAGTCATACATAAACTCCACAAATGGTCAGAAGACTGGCAAATGCTCTTTAATATAAAAAATGCAAGACTTTGCATGTGGGGCATAACAACCCACGTTACAACTACCAAATTAATAACATTTTTTTTTTTTTTTTTTTTTTGAGATATATACAAGAGTTGTTACATTCTTGTACAGCCACTAGTACGCGTAGCGTTTCAGGCAAGTCCTTAATCCTATGGTCCCTGGAATACGATCCCCTGCCGCGAAGAATCGTTTTTTCGTCCAAGTACACATTTTACTGTTGCGTTAAACAGAGGCTACAGTTAAGGAATTGCGCCCAGTAAATCCTCCCCGGCCAGGATACGAACCCATGACATAGCGCTCGCGGAACGCCAGGCGAGTGTCTTACCACTACACCACGGAGACTGCAAATTATCATTATCTGCAGCAGATTGATGAAGAAAAGGACCTTGGAGTCAAAATCCACCACTCACTGAAAGTTGCACTAAAGGTAGGAACAGTAGTAAATAAAGCTAACTAAACCCTAGGAATAATCAAGCGTACCTTTGACTTTAAGTAAAAAATGGTGGTGATTCTATTGTATAAATCTCTGGTGCGCCCCCAATTGGTTTACTGTATCCAAACATGGAGACATCTTTTTATTTATTTATTTATTTTTATTTATTTATTTTTATTTATGTATTTATTTATACAAGAGTTCTTACATTCTTGTACAGCCACAAGCACGCATATTATTTCGGGCAAATCCTTAAACCTAATTTTTACACACACACATCCCCAGGAAGCAGCCCGTAGCAGCTATCGAACTCCTATTTACTACTAGATGAACAAGGCATCAAGGTGAAAGAAACTGCGCATTTGCTTCCGCCTCCGCCGGGAATCGAACCCGGACCCATAGGACTACGAACCCGGAGCACTGTCCACTCAGCCGTCAAGCCCTGTTCCGGGCCACCGCAACTTCCTATCATGTGGGTCTTGCCTTGAGATGCCCACCCCTCCGGGTGCCCAACCCCGGCCGATGGCAGACAAAAAACACCCACAAGGAGGTCCATCTTCAGAAGGCCATATCGCTGCTCTCGAGAAAGTTCAACACCGGGCGACAAAGATCACTCCAGAGCAGTTGAGGGCCACAAGACTAAGAGCACTGTAAACCAGGCATGACAGGGCCTGTAGTGGGCGGATTTCATCGAAACTTATAAAATACTGAACAAGTTCGAGGATGATGATCTGGACAATTTCTTCAAAAGATCATATGTAACACCCTCCCTGCTAGGCTAGAGCAGGCCGGGTGGGTGTTCCCTGCTAGACTAGAGCAGGCTGGGTGGGTGTTCCCTGCTAGGCTAGAGCAGGCAGTGGCCACTACATCGGGTATTATTTCTATACTCACTAAGGGTTCCTCTCTATCTTGATGCACAAGAGTAAGTCACACCAAACAATCAACAAAGTCACGTTGCTCCCGCTGGAGCTCCTTTCACACACACACAACCATTACCTCCAGACGCCTGGTTATAACTGTGCGCGCTCGCAATGCTCTTGTGCGCCTGAAGGCATAGGGTCGGTGCCCGTGCCCTCACAATCAATACCGGGTCGGCGGCTGGGTCATTAAGCACCTGCCCCTAATGGGGCACGCCCTCTACCATCAGTACACAGCTAAGCTCCGCTAAGGCTCCCACTGGTCCGGACTTGCTCGCTGGTGGGGCATCACCGCTTGCTGTATACCTCGATCGATACCACCCAATAAGAGTAGCCTAATTTGTTGTTTAGTGACTGATGCGGGTTTCATAGTAATATATTTTAATATATTGAGTATACTTCATAGTAATATATTTTAATATATTGAGTACACTACACAATTTTAATTGTTTTATTAATATTATCTCTGTATATATATATTAAAAATATATGATAATAGGTTACCTTACCAATATTTGCTGTATGAA